ACATTATACAGACAGGCTCTGGTATCATGGCTACCTGACAACAGAGCTCAAAGTGTGGGATCATTTTAAGAAAATGAAAGAGAAACCTGTGCAATATCTGCAGAGCAGAACTTGTCTTCCACAGCAATTATTTTTAGTTAGCATATAGCTAAAATCTAACGATGGTTATATAATAGCAGCTGCATTCTGACGTGTTAAGCTGTATGTTTTATATTCAATTAACGTATGATCTGATTAGTTGACTTATCAAAAAAATAATCGGTGATTAATCGATTATAAAAATAATCGTTTGTGGCAGCTCTAACCGGTAATGGTCAGAAAAACATTAATCGATTACTTTTTGGCACTTGACGATTAATATGATTAATGCCCCAGACAGAGTCCACTCGGTGCTCCTCTCCGCTTCAAATATGACGAATATTTAAAAAGAAGTTCTGTAATTTATCAACACAATTTAAAATTTGATGTACAGCCTGAAGTCTGTAATTTTGACACAATGTGAGTAGGACATAACTGGGTCCAGGGACTCCAGGGGATTCATCGTCAAATTAATCATTATCGGCTAAATACCACAATTAATCGTGATGATTTTTTTTTTGCCAATATTGCCCAACCCTAGTGTGTATACCAATAACAGTCCTAAATAGGTAACAAAAACAAGCACACACCAGTCTGAGCTCATCAGAGACCCTGTTAGACTGATGTTTCCCTCCGTGTGTGGGGTTTGGTTGTCTGGCTGCTGTCAGGAACACATTCCTGCTGTCATCGTCCTCTGAGCTGGAGCAGTGTGTGTAGCGTCACACACCAACTATTTATTCATTATTTATTTTCAAAGGGCCACGTGTGAAACCGGGCATTGCAGAGGGACGGTTAGCTCAGACAGATGAGGACCTGAGGTCTACCTGACTGCAGCTGGACCCAGGCCTTAAACCTCTGTAGTTYCTGCTGAATCTTCAGAATCCAGTATGAATTGTACACAATGGTTCATCAAATATTTTACTATCAGACAGGTGAAGACATACAATGTTGTTGTAATGAAAGAGGAACTTTATTGCAGGTAATGTGAAGCTGTGGGTACAGAACATGGTCCTCCGGCCTGAGCTGAAACAGCAGGGCCCTCAGGTGACAGGAAGCAACAAATCCATCCAAGGACAGTTTGGTCATTGTTGAAGTGATGCTTGGTCAGATATTGTCAGTAGTTAGTAGCTCATCAGTAGGATTAACATTAATGTGAAAAAAGGATGTCTGTAGTGTGTTGAGTAATTAATGTTGGATTCAGTGGGCTGACGTGAACGAGAGTCAAACTTGTACTTTTGTACAATCTCACTTGGTTTAGGATTGAAGTGCTCTTTCATTGTTGTTACCAACTGCATGTGGAGCTGGGCTTGTCTGGGCTCACTAGGTTTCTCATTAGCTTGTATGTAGCTGGTCCCACCACGCTAATAAGGATAGCTCTCTGTTTGTCCCCATCATTAATGTCATTGGCTTCAAAAAATTGATCGAGAATCTTGCAGTATTCTTCCCAAGTCTGCTCTTTGGCATCAAACGCTGACAGAGTACCTATCATTGCACTCATTTTTGTAGTTGTACATCACCTTAGTTAGATCTGTTGTTAGTCTTCTTGCTTTCACTTTCACTTCCACTGGCCACATGCATCCAGACAAGCTCTGCGTCTTGAATCAGGCACAATCCACGTCCATCCAGTATCCTCGTCGCCAATATGTGTTATCTTCACTCTTGGGAATGATGTCCACTCTCAGCAGATACAGTATACTGTATTTAAACTTCTTTTTTAACGCTCTTCACAGCTTACAGTTAGAGTACCAGTTCTGTATAACACATGGGGTGACTTCTTCTGCTCTAAATCTCCTGCAGTAGCTTTTTAGGTTCTTCTCTGCTACTGCCTCTAGTAGTGATGGGTGGTAACACAACCCAAAACAAAAGATTACTAAATCAGGATACCACACAAATAAAATGTAATTTGTTTAGATTTTTCATTACCAATTAGCCTATTGATTTCCATATGTCAAATCAGAACTTAAATCATAACTAAATGATCAGTCACATTCTACTTTGGAACTGTAACTAATATT